GTGGGGGGGCAGCGGGCCCTTTTTTTTTTTTTTTTTTTTTTTTTTTCCCATCTTTGATTTGTGTATAACTTATAGATCATAGCTTCCACACATTGACCAGTTAGCAAACGTTTATCGACACTTCTAGAATGAGCGCCTTTAGATAAGGTTAGTTGCCAAGTTTGAGAATATTATGTAACGAAATAAAGAAGATATGACTCAGTCCGCGAAGTCGCGATAACTTGCACGGCCGTTTGTGTGTTGCTGGTGTTAGTGGGGGAGGTCAAGTTTGTATCCCCTACCTTGTAAAATTTTCGTGACTTTGCAGTGTCATAACTTTGCATATCTTCGACAGGTCGCGGCTTTCAAACTTGGAAAGTTTATTAATTTTAGGGTACTTTCTCCAGCAGTGTCAAGGAATATTCGCTTAGTGCCCCTTGATATAAAAAGGCTGGAAGCACAAGCAGTTCTGTGGCACTAGACGTCACGGTCTCTTATACTCTGAGTTGCGTAGTGAACATTCAGCGAACACTGATCATCCCCAATCCCCCAGAATACTTCAAGGTGCACAAAAGTCAACTGGAATATAAAGCATTGTAAAGAAAGGAAAGTGAATGGTCCTGTAAATGGGCAGATTAAAGTGCTTTTCCTTCCTTTTTGCAATTTTGTAGAGGCGTGTTATCTTGTGGCACATTTTGGTATCTACCACATGTACATCTCGTTACGAATGTTTATGACCGCTGGCAAAATAAATACCGAATCGAAGACGCCGTAATCCCTAGTTTGCTGGATTTTCACAGGAATGTCAACTTGGTTTTGTTTCTTAAATACGTTTAATTGCTTCTGTTGGCAAGCTGCCTTGAAGTCTCAATACGTCCGACGTCCGAGATTAAAAGCTTTTGTCTAACACAGTTGTTTTTATAGATAATGGGTTGCAGTTATGGATTTTAATTTCTTCACAGCTGCAAATTTCCGCCTTGTTAACTTTGTTTTGAAACTGGCTGAGTTGTTAAGTTGCATTATTTTTCTTCCAGGCAATGTCGATAGCCAGGATTTTTTCATACGTGTTTTTAGTCCATGATTCAGCTCTCTTTTTCAGTAGCTCTCTAAGGAACGGAACCAGCAAAGAATGTGTAAAGAGAGTAGTGACCACGTCTCGATCGTTGGAGTTGAAGGTTAAGCCAAAAGTTGTCTTAAGTTGATTTGCGTCTTGAATTAAATGAAGCGAAATGAAAAGAAGAATTCAGTAAACAAGGTTAGTGAAGACCGAAGAACGTAATGAAGGGAACCAGTGGGATGTTTGCCGTGTGTTATAGATGAAAACAAACTCAACGCTGGCTTTGTAAAGCGACGAATGTTTGCCTGCGTTTTAAGTTAAATTGTTTGAAATGAACGATGTCTTAGCCTCCAAAGAAGACAAACTTGAGATGAACTCTAAATGACTTGTTTCTGGCAAAATTTCCGATGGATAATTCAGGTCAGTGACTTTTTTTTTTGAAACGCAGCTCACCGAAAAGGAAACGCAAGAAGCCGCATTTAAAAAAACTGTAAGTGGTGTGCGCGTATAGTTCATCTTAATTGCTTTGGCACGAAGTGAATGTCAACAGTATCCTGTACAAATAAAGTCTCCCAACCTGAACTATTTTACATATTGCGTGTTTCTGTTAAGTCTATGTTTCAAGGAAAGTT